TGTTGACCAGGACTATGTGGGGGTTCAGGGTCTGGGGGTTGCCATGGGCGGTGCTGGCGCTGTGCTCTCCCTGGGGTTGTTTGGACCCCCTGAGCTTGGCTCTTGGGTGCCATGGTTGGCCCGCTGGCCGGGGTGGCTGCCGGGGCCTGGCGGGCGGTCGGCTGGGGGTGCGTGCTTGGTTGTTGGCGGTGTGTGGGGGTGGTCGGTGGCGTGTCCTCTTCATGGTGGGGGGGTGTCCTGTCGGCGGGGCATGGCCTGGGCCGGGTCTGGGGTATTGGCTCTTCTCCGCTCAAGAATGAATGGGTTTACCTCCTGGGTTTGGGCATGGGCTGCCCCCTGTAGAGGGCGGGTACATGTCTTGGACCTGGGGGGTATAGAGTGTGTATCGGGAATAAGAATGAAATGTATCGTTATTGTATGTCTTTGAGTGAATGAATGGGAGATTGAGGTTGGGATAGTCTGATTGTGTCTGTGTATGAATGGGTATTTGTTAGGCCGAGACTCGGACTGCCCCCTCTTTGATACAACTGGGGGTGCTTGGCATCGCGCCCCTATCACGCGGCCCCCTGGTGGGGTGTGCCCTTGCCTGCCGGCGCGCTTGGGGCCCTTGGTATCGGGGGCTGGGCGCTTGGGCGTGTGTCGGCTCGGCCTGGTGTCTGCCTGGTGGGGCTCGGGTCCTCTGGCCCTGTCAGGCCTTGGCCTGGGAGGTGTGAGTCCTCGGTGCCCGGGCCTCGGTGCCTGGACCTGGACCTACATCGGTGCGGCGGGTGCCGACGGAGGCCTATGAGTTTGTCGCTGTTGGCCCCGGGGGGTCACTGTATGTGGTTGCTGGTGGGGATCTTCCGGTTCTCCCCTGTGGTCCGTTCTGGGGGGTGGGTGAGTGGTTCGTCCTGTGTGGGTGGCTCTGGGGGCTCCGCGGTCGGGGTCCCTCCTGGGGTCTTGGGCTCTGGTCCCCCCTTTTTCGTCTGCCTCTGGTCTTGGGGGTCGGGTCTCTGCTGCTTCACAGTTACTAATAAATGTTCTATTAGAGAAGCCTTATACACTTATGCATGCTCACAACCACACACAAATAGAAGCAGGGATGCTTATGTAGGCTTTATATGTAGATATATAGATATGTATGTGAGTGTATATTCATGTGTATGTATGTATGTATGTATATAGGCGTAGGTATGGGTATATATATTTATGGAAACTTACTGCAAAGCCATGAATATTTTAAGTTCTTTATACATATGTATTGTGTTGCTGTGTTTTGTCATGTTCTTTGCAGGTGAACAGACAGTGGCCGGGTGTTTTGACGTGTGCTCTATTTGTATATATTTCTTATATTTTGGAGTCTTACTTTGTCTTTTCTTTCTTTCTATCCTATTAAAAAAAAAAAAAAAAAAAGTACTTCATGGACCTTCTCAATCCCAGTGGCATTTCTTCCGTGGAGGAACCTGAGTCAGGGGACTTCAGGGTTGGTCTGTCAATAGCTGTGACTGAGGTCACTGAGGTAGTTAAAGCTCTGTAGCAGCAGGGCTCTGGAGGTGGATGAGATTTGCTCTGATTTCCTTAAGGTTGTTTTCACACCTGATAGTCTGGTAGACACGGTTCGGTTGGGAACCTATATTCATAACATTTTTTTACATTTGAGCTGGTGCGTTTGCATTCACACTGCACTGTGCAGTCAAGCCAACCTGTTCCCCCACTCGCCTGTGCTGGCGCTGCACCCAAGAACTACAGAAAGAAACGACACAAAAACCTCTGAAGAAGACACTTCTTCTGGAAATAAAAACAAAAATGGAGTGGCGTCAAATTTTAGCAGTTTTAGGAGTTCGATTTTGTAATTTTTCAACAATGGACTCAGCATGAGTGGAAGATGAGGCAGAAGACCATGGAGAATGTTGTTTTTCACACAAGGCGCCTGACAGCTCCGTATGTGGTAAGAGAAATGCGTGTTTGTTTGCCCTGCATTGTAGTCCACTTCCAGCTTGTGGAGCAGTGCCCGGTCTGCTTGTATTCACCCTGAACTCGAACCGCTCTTAAGTTTTCTTCTACCGGACCGAGACCTACGTTTTAGACCGGGCCAGAGTTCGTCTTTTTGTTCTGTGACAGAGTTCGATGGCGCCTTCACACCTCCCCAAATAAACTGGACTTCCTAGGCAAATGGGCTAAAGTTTGGGACAACAGGGCTGGTGTGAATGCACCCTAAGGCTCTGGATGCTGTGGGGCTGTCTTGGTTGACATGCCTTTGCAACATCACGTGGACATCGGGGGCAGTGTCACTTGATTGACAGACTGGGGTGGTGGTTCCCCTCTTCAAAAAGGGTACCAGAGTGTGTGCTCTAGTTACAGGGGCATCACTCTCTTTAGCCTCCCTGGTAAGGTCTATTCAAGGTTACTGGAGAAGCGAGTCAGATCGTTGGTCGATCCTCAAATCCAGGAGGAGCAAAGCAGGTTCCATCCTGGCCGTAGAACACTGGATAAGCTATTTACCCTCAGCAGGGTCCTCGAGGGATCATGGGAGTTTGCCCATCCAGTCTATATGTGTTTTGTAGACTTGGAGAATGCTTTCAATCATGTTCTTCAAGGTACACTGTGGGGGGTGTTCCGTGAGTATGGGATTGGGGACCCGTTGTTATGGGCTGTTCAGTCCCTATACAAGCGGTGCAAGAGTTTGGTTTGCATTGCCGATAGTAAGTTGGACCCCTTCAGGGTGGGAGTTGGACTCCACCAGGGCTGCCCGTTGTCACTGATTGGACAGAATTTCTCTGTGCAGCCAGGGAGCAAAGGAAGTTCGGTTTGGCGCTTCAGGATTCTTTCTCTGCTATTTGCAGATTATGTGATCCTGTTGGTGTCATCATGCCACGATCTTCAGCTCTCTCTTGAAATGTTTGCAGATGAGTATCAAGCGGATGGGATGAGAATTGGCACCTTCAAATCTGAGGCCATGGTCCTCTGTCGGAAAAAGGCGGCCTGATTTCTTCAGGTCTAGGGTGAGATTCTGCCTCAAGTGGAGGAGTTCAAGTATATGTTTTGTTCATGAGTGAGGGAAAAATGGTGTTCAAGATTTACAGATTAGTGCAGCTTCTGCAGTATTACGGACTCTGTGCCAGTCTGTTGTGGTTAAGATGGAGCTGAGCTATATGGCAAAGCTCTCTGTTTACTGATAAGTCTTCATTCATACCCTCACTTATATTCACAAACTCTGGGTAGGGACCAAAAGAATGAGATTGCGGATAGAGGTGGTTGAAATGTTTCCTCCGCAGGGTAGTTGGGCCTTCCATTTAGGGTGAGAAGTTCAGTTACCCAGGAGAGACCCAGAGTAGAACTGCTGCTCCTCCACATCGAAAGGAGCCACTTGAGGTGGTTCAGGCATCTGGCAAGGATGCTTCCTGGTAGCCTCCCTAGGGAGGTGCTTTGGGCATGTCTGACTGGGAGGAGACCCTGGGGAAGACCCAGGAAACACTGGAGAGACTAAGTCTTTTGATTGGCCTGGGAAGGCCTTGGAGTCCTCCCAGAAAAGCTGGAAGAGGTGGCTTTGGAAAGAGACGTCTGGGCCTCCCTGCTCAAGCTGCTACCCCGCGAACAAACTTTGTGGAAGATGATGCATGTGTGGATGGATGGATGGATTTTCCAGGCATTGCTGATCATCATTTTATCAATGAAGCTACTTGCTTTCATTATTCCTACTGAAGCAGTAATGATGTCCTTAGTTTTTCTTAATGCTGCTTCTAAAATTTATCAAATTTTATTGCCATATTTTAATGTGTAATAGGGGGCCTTTCAATTGTTAATAAAAATTGCTTTGTCTTACCGTACTACAACATCGTAATCATCTATGCGGGTGCCCAGGGACTTATTAAACAAGATCCCCCCGTTGCCTACAATGATGCATCTTTTACAGCTGAGACTGGGAGGAAATACAGCCAGAAGTTAGTAACATTGATAAAGCAAAAACAAAAACTTGTTGATGTAGTTAAATAATTGATTACCTGTCTAACTTCTCTCCAAGCCCATAATTTTTCGTCGCAGTTAAAATGCTGTCTATTATTCTTTCTGCAGGGAAAGAAGAGAAAAAAAGTCAATGAAAAAAGATGTGAAGTTTTTGCCTAAAATGTACAGAAAAAATATATAAATTGAGTTTATTTGATAAAAAAAAAAAACTTATTTTTATTTGATTTGGGAATTGATACTGATGTGAACAAATTTGTTTGTACCTCCTTTTATTGGAAAAAGGGAAAACTCCCAAAATTCACTGAAATAACTTGAAACTGACAAAATTTATTAAAATAAAAAATAACAAATGAGAACTGGTAATTTCTTTTGAACTTTCATTCAGTAGATTTTTTTAACAATTCATAAAACCAGCCTTGACAAAAAGTATAGTTGGAGAAGATTGAAACCACTTTGACCACAGGAACATGTCAAACGCAGGTGTGTCTTGTATTTACCATCACAGGTATCTTCAATCTTGTAATCAGTCAGTCTGCTTATTTAAACAATGAAAAGTAGTCACTGTGCTGCTTTGTATCATGGTGTGTACCATACTGAACCTGGACTACAAAAATCTAAGAACAGAGTTGTCTCGGCCACTTTAAAAACGTTTTTTGAGCGTATGTTAAAGGTAACTGCTATAAGACTATCTCCAAGAAACTTGATGTCCCTGTGACCACAGCTGAACTGATAATTCTTAAGTCTAAGGTCCACAGGACTGGAGACGACATCACTGGATGTGGCCTCGAGAAGAAAACTCATGACGGATTGAAGAGACAAACAATACAAATTGTAGCCAAAGAGTCCAGAACAACTTCAAAAGAGATTAGAGGTGAACTTCGGGGTAAAGATTCATCAATATCAAACTGCATCTGTCAATGTTTGAACCAGAGCAGACTAAATGGAAGAGGTCGAAAAGAGACACCATTTTATGAAAAAGCAACATTTGAATTTCCCAAAATTTATTTTTTCAATCCACAGAGTATCTGGGAGAATGTCCTTTGGACAGATGAGACAAAACCCAAGCCTTTTGGGCCAACAATGTCTTATCAGATCTATGTTCACAGACCAAATCAAAACGTTGTACCTACAGTGAAACATGGCGGAAAGAGGCTTAGTTCTGTGCTGGGCTTGTTTTGCTGAATCTGAACAAAGGTAGTTTGAATCTGTGAAGAGTGCAATAAAATCTCAAGACTGTCAAAGCATTCTGGAGTGAAATGAGATGCTCAGTGTCAGAAAGTTTGGTCTTAATTGCAACACCCAAGAATGGTTAAGAACCAAACACTAGAATATTCTGAAGTGGCCTTTTGAGTCATAATTGAATTATTGTTCAACATCTGTGAAAGGAGCTAAAACATGCAGTCTGGAAAATGAATCATTTAAACTTGAGACAGTTGGAGAAGTTTGATCAAGAAGAGTGAACCAAATACCTGTGGACAGGTGCACAAGTCTTAGTTACAGAAATCACTTGATTACAGTGATTCCCTCAACAAAACATTGAGCATGTTATCCTTTTCTTAAGACCAGTTTAATTAGTTTGTTAATAATTCTGATAAACCAAAATTCAAAAGCAATGACTGATTTTTATGAATTGAGTTTAAAGTATATCCTTTTCTTTTTGTCAGTTTTAAGATTTTGCAGTGACCACTGACTATTTCCTTTCTTTAACAAAAAGTTACACATTTCTTTTTATAGTGTAAACTTGTTTACTGTTGCAATAAATAGGATAAAGCATATGGCTTTAACTCATGGATTTTATGTTCAACCAGGGTGTACCACATCACTTGTGACTGCTGGATATGGGCACCAGTGACCCCTGCAACCCGGAAAGGAAGAAGCCGGTAAAGAAAATGGATTGGATAGATGGACGGATGGACGGACATTAAAAATAAACCTTTGATGGCAAGGTCAGCCACCTTTATCATCTCAATTTACCCTCACAGATAATGTGTCCCTGCTTTTATGAATGATCAGTAAACACCACAAACCTCAACATACCACTAAAAACATCTAATTCTAAATGGCCTTAATGACATGATGAGAAAATAATAATTTTCTATTCAGTTGCAGACGAGAAGTGCTCCAGTTGATTGCAGAAATTGGTAGTAATGGGACTGGGAAAATGAGAAAATAATTCATTTTGAATTCATTATGTTCTTGAGAGTTAAACTGGTAAAACCAGATATTTGTGAGACATCCAGAGTTTAGAATGGCATGCATGTGTATGTAAAAACTCTCCCATAAAAGCACTCAGAGGAATGCTGCTGTCAAACAAGCACATTCTACTGCTGAAGAAGTCGATGCTGAAGTTGTCTCCTCGTGCGGCGAAGACATTTATATTCACATGGTGAGGAAGGAGGCTGTTTATTCATAGTGCACATACCTGCCATGTTCAACAAGACATTCTGCTGGAGTCATGCTTCCAGTATTAGATAATATATTTCACCTCCTCCTGAATATTTTTAGCTATGTTATAGTTATAATTAATCTTTTGCAACATACCAAAGTACAAATTCCATTACCACTGCACTCATTTTTGTTCCATGTACACTTATAGCAATGCTGAAGTGTTGCAGTACTGTTTGGGTTTACCTACCATTGCACTACTTACTTACTAGCACCCACTACTAAATGGAGAAGGTGAGTGATAATGTTTTATCAAGTTTCATTAAATTATCTTGATCAGAAGTTATGGTCCGGACAAGCAAAGACCTTGTTTTAACTGTTCACCTTGATGTGTGCTTGTGACTGAGCTTGTCCCCACCTAAACTAAGATATTTGTTTAAATCTTTAGCATTGTTTTTTTAGAAGTCAACCTTGTTTGTCTGCAAAATATCTCATGAACCACTAGACACATTTTAACTCAGAGTAATCGTTGGATGGCCTCTTACAACTGATTTGTTTTGGGAATCAGTGTTATTTAAGATGGCCACCACAGTTAATCAACATCGGCCAACCCAGAAATGTCTCCAACTCCTTCAATTTTACAGATACTGGGCTAAAATTTGTTTTGGTAGTAGCTGAGACTCATTCCAAGACATAATCTGAGAGCAAACTGACCAGCAACATCTTGCAATATCTCATAGAATCACATATAGCATCAATTACAAGGTTTGACCAAAATGGTTTTAACTTTCTTTTCTTATCATAAGATGAGAAAGGACAATATCATTGTATTAAACGTCAGTTTAGAACTAACATGAAAGGAAGTGGACCTTTAATTCACTCTTTTTCCTAGGTACATGACGCACAATCTGTATTACTGAATATCGTAAAGAGTTAGATATTTTCAGTGCTTTTCATTCCACTTATTTTACAGACTACAAAGCAAACAGTCTGATGGAAGGAGCCAAAAGAAACGGCAAAACTGAGTTGAGTGACTGAGATATTCTAGCTGTTAGTTAGACATAATAGCCCTTTCACCCTGGCTAATGATCCTAATGATTAACCTGCTGCAGAGAGGTGGGCAGAGCCACAGTTCGTTGTTTGGATGTGGTGTCGATGTCTGGCATCAAGCATCACCCCGAGCAGCGTAAACACCAGGCAGAGGACCACACCTGGATAACCAAGTGGATGAAAAGTGAAAAATCACAGAAAGCAGTGCTCTGCTCCAAAGGATGACATAGAAGCTAATTGTTGTAAGTATTGAGTAAACATGTCGGTCAAGTATGTTTTGTGGCAGAACCAAAGATGAATGGCTGAAGGTTCTGACATTAGTCCAGCAGGAAACTCTTCAATTAGGAGTGGGGGGAAAAAAACTAACAGTAACAGAAGAACTGCAGAAAAGCATATATATATAGATATATATATATATATATATATATATATATATATATATATATATATATAAGCATAACACAGACACTGTTAGGAAAGGTGCAGCCTAAACAACAAAGAATTTTGTGATGACAGAAATTTACTTGAAAATTGAAGGATAGTTTTGTTGATATCTGATGAACCACTCATGAGGCACACAGATGTTTGAGGCACCTAAAATGCATGTGAACTGTCTACAAGACACTACCATTCTCATTAAGAAGAAAAGGGTCTCGGATCAGCATATTAATTCTGAACAAGTCACGTGATGAATCCTAAAGGCGATAAAGTGTAGACAAAGACACGTGGCTGTTAATAGCTGGGCATAGTTGTGGTAATTGTGGAACAATGACAGCTTTTGCACCACTGGAGGACACAGCCGACAGAAGAATTGTGAGAGAACGTATTTTCAGGGATCACGCAAACTTGTTGGCACACAATGATGCAGCCTAGCTTATCCATTCTTAATTCTGCTCTGAACAGGCTCCAGCATTACAGAGGGGCACTTCAGTCAACCCTGGGCCATGCCATGCCATGCTAGCCGTATCTGTATGATGTCCAGATTTTTCAAATGACCTGTGATTAATAATAATAATGAATTTAATTTGTAACACACTTTTCATGAACAAAAATCGCAAAGTGCTGCAAAGTGCAACTAAAATAAAAAATCAACTAAAATCAATGATAAAATCAACTAAAATCAATGATAAAATCAACTAAAATCAGTGA